CACGTCCCAAATACCATTGTCCGTTTTCTCAATTTTTGTCGACGTGTCCGTTTAGTTCTAGTGGTACCGAGGCTTGTATTGTTAGGTCGTTTAACAGTAAAACTTTTTACAAGTACCGGGGAGTTAGCCCGATGACTCAACCCCCAACCTGGAGGACCAGGGTTTGATTTCGGAGTTGCCTCTCCTAGACAGGTTGCTTTCACTTCAGCTCAGAGCCCTGTCTGCCCTTCTAGCAGGTGGTTCATACGCCCAGAGGCCGGTGACCATCTCCACTGCCCCCTTTGAGGCAGGGGCTACCAGCTATATTAATATTAATATAATCATTTTAAAATTTTTAAATTATTAAATTTTTAAATTTTTTGAACTTTTCTATCATTTTTTTTTACAATTTTTTTCAAAGATCCTAGTTAGAACAGATGCGCTAACATCAATGACCATCATGAAAATTGACTGCCCTCAATGAAACTTAAGCATTTTCGAGATCGTGTGTTTTCATTCTCACCGATTCAATTATGTTACAGACCCATTTTCAGTTAATGGACCACTAGACAAGGTACGAATTCAAGCAATCTGATACATGTTTCTCAACCAGAATTTCACGTAGAACACGATTCGCACAACGAAAATTACTGAAACCAGCTCCTGATGGAGATATTAACCTTTTTATTTCACATTGGTTACGCGGATATTGAACTGCCCGCTCACAAGAAACTCAAAGCTCTACGTGAGTCAAATCGCGCACCACAACAGTTTCAGCTAGCCTCTCAATCGATCACTGTTCATAACCCACCATGTGTTGTTCAAATTATAAGCAATTTGCTATAGCTGAGCCAAAGCGTCAAAATTGTCGTTGCCAGATTTTCATATCGCAGAGACTGTCACGATAATATTCAACGCGCGATGTGAATCACGTAGAGCATTGAGTTTTATTGAGCAAGTGGTTTGAATTCACGCATCAGGAATCATTAAATATCTTTGTAAGGAGTTGATTTCGGTAATTTTTGTTGTGCGCATTGTGTTCTACTTGAAATTTTGGTTAAAAAACATGTATCAGAATGCTTAAGTTCGTACCTTGTCTAGTGGTCCATACTTGAAATTTTTTCGAGATCCGGCACCGTTGCAGTGCAAATCGAGCCGTCAAAACTGAAAAGCAGCGTGGCGCGCGGGGCGCGCGTGGCACCTCGTGAATTTTTAATCGGCAGAAATGCCCATCCCCGCCCCTGTACCGCCCCTCCGGCCCGGAAAGTATCTTCTCGGATTCAAAATCGCCTTTTAACAGCATCCGATCCCGTGCAATCCTTACGACAATCCGTCGCCCTCCTCACATAAACGCGTAACTGCATTTCGTGATGACCTCTATCGTCAATTTAACTCAATCAGTAGCGTGGCGTGAATTGCGATATATCGATTGTTATGCCATTTAAACCTATGGAAAAGGATCGATAAACAGGGTGTTCGCAGCGAACACCTTAATAATCGATTCTTTACCATAGGTTTAAATGGCGTAACAATCGATATATCAATCGATGTATCGATATAACAATTTACGCCACGCCACTGAACTCAATGCTTCTCTGGGCTCATCTCAATGTGTAGTTACGCCCCTTCGTCAGCCAAGCGACCGATCCTCGATCACCCCCTTATAAGTTAACCAGTCCCCCGTTTAATTTCGGGCCCCGGCGTGACCGCCACCCTCTCCTACCGTAACTCTCCCCATCTCTCTCCCCCTCTAGCCCTCTCGCGACCTGATCGTCCCTCAGGAATGAGTAAAAGTAGGAGAGGAGATTGTCATGTTTAGAATCGAGCTTTAGACGCTAGGATCGAATTGGTCATGGAGGTTGCACACGAGATATACAGATTAAGCTGATTCGATGGACGCCATATTATATGTCAGAACGACATGCGATCTATCTATTGAATTTTGTTTAGAAATTTTTGGGAAATTCTCCACAGGATTAAGAAAATTCAGTAAATATTCGAAAAAATTGTGTAGGTCGTTTTTCTTTTTAAAAGATAAATTTTAAGAAGGAATCTGATTTCGATCGATATAAGTATTTTGCGACTTTCACCATTGATCTGTAGCTCTGAATGTTGGCATGAGCAGGAAAGCGATACGATTACGAAATGAAACAGTTGCATGAATGGTTTCATAATTTTATTCACATTTTCAAAAAGTAAGCTTTTAAGTATTTAAAAATTGGACTATACAATATCATATTAAACTGCATATTCTTTAAACGGCGTTGACTACAATCAGTTCAACTGCACTACATGTCAGCTAATTTTACTTTTTCTATTTTTTGGTAGAAAATTAAGCAACATTATATTTTGTGAGTTAATGCTACTCAATTGATGAAGAAGTTTCAAAAATGTTTAAGGCTACATTACACACGGTGTTTTACGTCAAAAATAAGAGAAAATCACGCATCGTAAAATACAGCTGAGCTGATTTTGGCGAAGAAACCAATTTTCGGTCTAGACCAATATCGTTTTGGCGGTGTTGTTTCCTCCTCAGAGGGTATCTCGAAAGGTAAAAATTGAACAAAATTTTCATCGTGCCCTTTTGTTCCTCCCTTTTTTCGATTGTACTTACGCATATGATTATGGAGTATACATTCCCTCAATCGATCAATGATGCGGCCAGTTCGGGGGATATGCCATGGGGATATCCAAAAATTTAGGTCTGAGATTGGGTTTCAGGAAGTTGATGCAGACTTGTATCTGTGAGTGAGTCCTCATTGGAGTTTTGTGAGGATCAGGGAACATCTGGAACTCAGCCTCGATTGTGCACGAGTAGCGCCTGCACAGGGGAGAAATGAATGAATATTTTTTGGAGACACCCACACTGGAAAAAAAATATCGGTGTATTTATTAAGAAAAGGGTAAAATTACCAAGAATTCCGGGTTCTATTTGATCCCAGTTTTTTCTCGGTAAAATTACCATTTATGGAATTGGTAATTTTACCGAGAAATCGCGGTAAAATTATTGACTTTCTCGGTAATTTTACTGGACCCCGGTAAAAACGCCAATATTTTTTATCGACTGTGGTAGTAGTACCGAGATAAAGTGGCAAAGTTACCGGGAATTTATTACCAATAAAAGTGGTATTCTTACCTGAAAAAAAACAGTAAAAATACCAGTTATTAGGTAAGATTACCAGTCTTCCTGGTAAAATTACTAATAATTGGTAAAAAAAGTGAGATGGTAAAGGTACCAACGGACCTTGGTAAAAACGCCGAGAATTTTTTTTCAGCGGAGACACCCAAAGCATGGATGGTTATTTTGGCAATACTGCAGTGCTAAGGAAGAACGCCGTATGAGCCTTCAGGCGTTGCCAAGTTTCCTTCAATAAAATGTTTATTTATGAGGAAAGTTATGAATATTTTTCCTCGAAATTTTCAGACTTTTTACATCAAATTATGAACGAAATCCTGTGAAAAATTGAAGGAGAAATATTTACTGATTTTTCTGAAAATTTGCGATTTATAGGAGGAAATTTGGCAACGTCTGATGGTTCATACGGCGTTTTTCCTTAGCACGGCAGAATAGATCACAAGGCAGGAGGTAAATTTCACCAATTTGAAGTAGGGTTTTCAGCAAAACGTTTTACTAGATTCAAATTTTTCGAGTCTACTTTAGAGAATTAATGTTTTCATCTAGCATTGGCTTTGATAATGCCAGAAATGAATCTATATGTATCTCATTCATTTGTGAAGAGAAGTAAAATTTCCTCAGAAATTCACATGAAAGTAGCTAATGGGAATCTTATTCAAATGTGAAACAAACGTAATTGATCAACAAGTTGGATTTTGCAATCGCTAGCGATAGCAATATTCGTCATGGGAACGTTAGCTTCTGGGATATGAAAATGTTAAGGTACAGTTCGTTTGTAGTATCTTCTGAATTGAAGGGGCTATGTAATTTTGTGTTGACATCTCTTTTTTAACATTTTTAATTATTTTCTTTGCATACAAGAAAGCTGTTATGTACCAATTATTTATTTTCGTTGGATTATTTATGGTTTTCGGAAGTTAACGCATTTAAGTTTCAGGTTCGCTTTTTCGCTTAAAGTATACATAAGGTGTCCCAAAAGCACCGGGACTTGTTCTGTAACTTCGAAAGTAAGATAGATACAGACATGATCTTGATTTCATTTTAAAGATCAACTCGATACCTATCGATTAAAACAAGATCAGCTCAATCGGATAAAAATTGACCGAGTTATGACAATTTGAAATCAGCGAGGAAAGTTTACGCCTACGGTTTTTAAGGAAGATTCTTCATCGCCGTAAATCGAAAAGTC